TCAATCGAACGGATGATGTGATGTTCTCAAAAATGGATAAAAATGGAATTTATTTATATATAAGCAAGATGGCAAAACAAAAATTATTGTGTATCCAAATGTGTAACATTAAGAATTAATTGTTTAGAATCTTCGATTTTAGTAAAAAATTTGTAATTCAAGCTAAGAAAAGAGTCCATTTTTTTTTTTTTTTTGTAAATTACATTTTCTGTATATGTATATGTATATGCATGTACATAAGTAAATATAAATGTAACTTTAATCGTGAGAGGCTCAGTCCGCGGAAATGCATTTTCTGTAAATCATACGCACACACTCGTTCGTATGTATATAAACGCACCACAAACCGTTGCATTATTTATTTCTCTTTCCATCAACCGAGCCTCGAAGCGACCACACATTTTAAGCGTAGTATACATTTAGGCGACACTTCAGTGTCCAAACAAAAAAAAAACAGCTTGTCAAGCGATATAGACCAGAGCGCGGTATCTCATAAATATTGAAAACGAAATGACATGAACGAACACACACACACACACGCACATGTAAATCGTTCTAAAATTCTTATTTTTATTAAAATTTCAAATCTGTTTTATTCTTTTAAAGTGTCTTTTTTTTTCTTTATGATTTTATGAAATATTTATTGTGGCCGAGATAACGCTATAGTCATAGGCAGCACTTGAGTGCAGCAACAGTGGTGGCAGTGAGTGAGTAAATGAGTGAATGAGCATGTTGGCCCTGACCACTGTAGTACACTTGTATTCTTCCCACTACGCTGGCTACCGCCGCAGGCGTTCACACTTTGTGCATGCAACAATAGCTCAGCGACGGCTGTAGTGGAGAGTGTAGAGTAAATGATAAGTGTAGTAGTGCTTCCTTTATTTTAGCGTTTTTTTTATTGTTTTTGTTTGAAATGCATATGTTTCAAGTTGAATATTTCGAGATTTGCATGTCAGTGTCATTTGCACAAGCAAACCGACAATAGAAAAAAAAAAACAACAGAAAAAGAGAAAATAAAAATTCATTCCTCTTTCCACTTTGTACAATCAAATGTTGCGGCAGCGCTGCACTTCCCCTCAAAACGCTTTTATGTGCACACACACCAAGGCGTATTGCCATTTGAAAAGCATTCAACACTTCAACGTCGATCTCCCTGCTGCCCTCAACCGTGTGGCTTTGGCCTTTCTTTGATGGCTTTCAAGTGTATTTTTATATGTTTAATTTTAGAAGCACACATTGTATGTATGTAGATGTACACATATATATACAAAAATTTCTAGTTTGTATTGCTTGCATATTCTTCGCTATTCACCATTTCAGTTTCATTGTAAACAATTTTTGCCGCTCGCACGCATCAACTCTTTGTCATGGCTCTGCTTTCTACAATACAATATGTCCTTTGCGTTTCAATGAATCCCAACAAAGTGTAGGAGTGAATATTGCACACTATTCGCTCGTGAGAAGAGCCATAAAAAATTGTGTTTTAACTTTATGATTCTGACGATCTGTTACCATTTTTGCTTTTTCTAGACGTTCTATGCCACGTCGATGTACATTGCAGCTAAATAAAGTGAAAATTAATTTGCATTTCTCCCCTTTTAATTTATAATTTATTTCACAATTTTTTATGCTCAACACGTTTTTCTTCGTTGGCAACTCTGTTCACACTTTTTTAATTGAATCAATTACAGTTTTTATTAAAAAAAAAAAAATTGCATAACTTTTTTTTTTTGTTCTGCCACGATATAATGCATACATATATTTTAATTTAAAAATCTATATTTTACAAAAGAAAAATTAATACTGCGGCTTAAGCTTTAAAATGGTAATAAAATTATAACAAAGGTAATGAAAAAGATGTCAAAGGCGTAGCTATGAATGTAATTTAGCTACAGCAAAAATGTTCTCTCTCTCAACTCTTAATAATATCTGCTGGAAAAATGCAAAAGCTTTCAACTGACTTCAATCAGATTTGAGCTTTGTTTTTATTTTTTTTTTTTTTGTGTGTTTTTTTGCTATATTTTTCGCTAAAAATATTGAAAAAAACTAAAAATCCCATAATTCCTTTGTTAAGGGTGTTCCAATAGGAGTTGTTATTTTGAATTGTCTGCTATTGCGGTAGATGTCGCTGTTAAAGCTTTAATTTTTGGAAGCTTGACAAGTACAAACTATTTCAGTAATAAAAATGGAGTGTAACACTCTTCTGCAACGCATTCAAAGTTTTAAAATTCACCATTAAAATGGTAGAAACCTGGCAAAGATGGTTCGTGCAAATAAAAGATTTCTCGCTTATCCGGAGCACCTTGGAAAACTGGAGCTGTCGTGACAAGTTAGTGTTGTAAAGAATAAATCATTTGTACGTCGCTCAAGAGCAACTGTGGGTATTTGGAGCTGCAGCCGAAAGTGTTGGAGAATAAAACCAGAATTGTCCATTCCTCATCACTCTCTGGAATTGGGCATTCCATATTATATCATATATTGCGTAAAGATTTGGGTTTTAAGGCTGATAAAATTCAGTTAACACAAGAACTCAAGCCGACCAATAATTAACAACGTCGTGTCTTTGCTGATGAGGTTCTCGAAATGCATGAAAATGCTATATCTCTTGACTGATGATGCCCATTTCCACCACGCTGGCTTGGTCAATAAGCAAAACTGTTGATAAGCAAAACTATCGCCAAGGTTTATTGCTGAAAAGCCTAACCATCCTCATCATGAAACTCTTTGGCGCGCTTTATGAAACGGGATGGTCATTCGACCTAGAGCAACAGTTGCGGTGATTAAAGATTTTTTATGGCGGGATTGAACGGTATGGATCCGAAGAAGCTTCACTTTCAACACAACGAAGCTTCGTGCCACACAAGCAGAGAATCCATCGATCTTTTAAGGGAAAATCAAATCATAATGAATATCAAAATATCACAAATTATTGGCAGATCCTGTATCAATATTTCAGTCGATTTTTTTATTCTAACTTTTGAATATTTTTGCTATGAACTCAGCACTTTTATATACAAAAAATTATATTTTTTTAACAAACGAAATTTTCTATAATTTTTTATTTTTGGCCGCCTCCGAATGGCTGATAGTTCCGTATGAGGAGCTTTCATTTCATATCAGAAATTGTATTCGGAGGGCATGGCAATTCCTTTTAAAGGGCAACCGTTATTAGAAGAATTATCTTAATTTTTTAAATAAATACATTTTTTATCATTTTTTATATGTACGATTTGAATTCTGCCCTTCCAAACATTGATGGTACGCACTGCTAACCACTCGGCTACGATGACCGTACTCCCGAGAGATTAAATACTTCTATACAACGCTTCTTAATACTCCATCAAACCCTCACTGCAAGCAATTTGCGTAATTTTTTGAGCTTTTGACAACGGTATTTTGGCAATTTCAGACTCTAATTTCAAAATATAATTTTTAAACAAAAATTTTTCTGAGAAACTTTTTGGTAAAATTTGGTCAAAAAATTAAAAAAAAAAATTGCAATTTTTCGAAATTTTTTTAAATTCTCAATATTTTAATGCTCAAAATGTGTTGTTATCAATATTTTTATTTGAAGTATTTAAACAGGTAATAGTCCTTTAAAAAATTAATCCCGCGTAAAGCTCTTTATCAATGTTTTCAGCTTGATACCCACTGTAAAGCTTTTAATATTAACATTTCATAACTTGAATGTTTGCCTGCAGTTAAAATTTGTAAGTTTCAAAACCTCAGTTCAATAATTTATAAAAGAGAAGACTTGATGTGAAAAAATTTTGTAAACTGCTTAGAATAACTTCACTGAGTACCACTTTTGCTGCCGGTCTTAAGGAAATATACAGGAGGATACAGTTCTCAACGGAGAATCGAGGGAAATTGAACAGGGTGCCTACGAATCGTCCACTATTTTATATTAAACTGAAAGCTTTTATTTACATTTCGCTTAAATTATCAGATTTGAATTAAATATGCAAACGGTGCTCGATAACTGTTTGCCATTTTCAGATAATGTTGGCATTAGGTAGTATAATTGCAGCCAATCCTTGAAGAACAAAATATTCGCCATAGACAGGAACAAATAGTGATAATTTGGTTCGAATTGCGAGCTACAATATTAGGTAGTGGATAAGTACTGCCCAATAGTGTGTGGTCAGAAGTTATGCTGATGAAACACATTTCCCCTCCTATTAATCAAAGCTGGTTGCCTCTGGTTAGTTACTTCCTTTAGACAGTCCAATAGCTGACAGATTTAAGAATTTCATCATATGGGAGCAACTCATACAGGCCTATTCTCACTGCTACCGGTAAAGTAAATTTTGTTACTTTTCTTTAAGACTCGAAATTGAATTTGGTATTCTGGCGAACTGGTTACAATGTTTGGAAAATATTTGGCAGCACTGCTTTTTTCGTCCATGTCAAATTACATTTGCCAGTTGATAAAGTAAAAACAAAAATATTCACATCGAAATGGAAGACGGTGCCCAAAAAATTAAAAAGTTTTATTAATTTATTTATTAAATCATAAATATTTGAACCTAATTATGGAAATTATGCCTGGACAATAATAAAAGCTGAATGAAGACGTTATTTTACAAATTAAAGGGTTTTTTTCAGTCTCGAAAATGTCTTGGCATATGCCTTCTTACAGTTTTTTCTTCATCTTCAAAGAATTCCGGGCCTAAAATATGCCTACCCATTTTGGTTTTTATTTTTTCTCAAATTTACAACACAAAATCAAACAGCAGATATTTTTGTTACCTCCTATTTCGTTGGTAACAAAATTTACAGGGTAACAGTGAGCTCAGAATACGAAATGGTAACAAAATTTACTGAATGGTAAATTTTAATACCTAGGCAAATTTTCTTACCACTACAGAAAAGGCCTGATAGTGAATGTTTCCCTGCAAATTCCACCAAAGACCCAACAAAGCCATCACACCTGTATGATTTGCGTTTTCGCCTTTTTGGAAGAAAAAGTGTGGAATACAACGTATTTTCTCTTGCAGGCTGAGTTAAGAGTTCAACAAGATAGAAAAAAAATTACCGCCTTGTAGCGATATTCGCGAGAATGATCTTTTTTTAATTTTCTCTGAAGGTAAGTGAATTAAATCGGCACCAGAAGGTTAACGAGCTCATTTCCTCTGGACGTGTTGGTAGCAATAAAACTTATGTAATCGAAACTTCGTTTTTTATCTTTTTTAGAACAAAATATCAGCTTTCCAATGTCATCTAGCGCATGCCAATCACACTAAAAGAACACGAGTTACGGATTACTGAAGCAATCTATTGCAAAAATAAGGGATTCCTTTTTACTAGACTAATACCGCACGAATTCTTTAAATACATTTAAATCGTCATATGTTTGCTTAATTTGTATATTTTTATTTATTAAGAAGTCTTCACACAAAAAAGTCCCCAAAAATTCAGTTTCTAAAAGATGCAAGTGGATAAAATCAAATAAAAAATATAAATATTGAAAACCCAAAAGTTTTTTATATAACATAGGCACATTATGTATATGAATATTATATATTAAAAAATATGAAAAATTATAGGTTTTGATATTTAAAAATTTAATTCATGCATGTTGTATAATTTCTGTTGAAAAAACCCCGCCAATGCTTGTAATTACATAATGCTTTAATTTATTATATATTTTTTCTACTCGTTAAAAAGTCAACTTGTTATGCAGCAGCATTAAATTCAAAAGCATAGTTGTCATGAATAAAAGTATGCATTATGAAACTTGATCACACAACCACTCGTAAAAAGAAAGGAAAAAAACCAAGCTCAATTCATAATACCTCAAGGACATCGTACTTTCGTACTTTTCAATTCAACACATTGGTTAAGTAAATTACATTAAATTCCATGTGACGCAAAAAAGCCTTTGCGGTTGATGAATAGATTTGCATGAAACAAAAAATTATTAAAAATAAACTAAAAAACAAAAACATAAAAACTAGTGCATTTAACAAGCAGCGATCAACAAATTCCAGCCGCAACTCAACACTGCATCAAATGCCAATGAAATCAAGTATAAACCAGTGCGTGTGTATGTGTAAAATCGAATTACAACCAACCGCAGCAGCAGCAGCAGCATCGAAAATCACAGCAGCGCAAAAACCGAAAATGTCAAGTGGAAAAAATATTAAATTTGTATTTAAAAAAAATTCATTAAAACTTTTTTTTGCGCGCACTTTTTTTTTGGTCATGAAATCATTTGACTTTAATTGCATATAATTAGGCGTTTTTTGAATAAGCGTTTGATTTGTGGCAAATACGTCAATTTTCTCTTTATACATATTTAATATATATGTATTTTGCAATATTTTCAATATTTGCTTTAATTAAAGTTTGTAATTTGTTGAAAAATTATTTTATTTAAGCTATTAAATCTGGCTGCTGATTTTACATCACTGCAGCTGCATGCTGCGCTTACTAGAGATAAGGCTTTGAATTTTGTGTAATTTGAAAAAAAATTGTATTTTATATTATACCGCACAACGAACGCCTCGCGATAGCAAGTGGTTACTTTAGCGCTATACTTATGCATTATGACATATTAGGTATGAGGGAAAATTGTATGAATAAAATTAAATATTAGTGAGAATAAAAGCTTATTCACCATATCTTTTTTTTATTATTTTATGCATAATTTTTCTGTTTTTATATTCCTATTTTAAGCTAATGAATATTAAATAGCAAACACTCTCTTCATTATTCAAACTTATTTTTAATGTTTTTTAGTCTTTAGTGCCAATTAGTAGAATTAAAGTGAAAATTTTAAATCCTTAAACAATATAAAAATTATTTTAATGGAAAGATTGTTATTTAAATTGAACTTTAAAAATTGCACAAAGCGCAGAAAAATATTTAACAAGCGTGTCCTAGTCTTGAGTAAATATTGCAAAGCGAATTGGGAATAGCTTGGGGAATAGCATAGTCAAGAATAAAATTTTTTTATTTACGTGACTGAAACTTGTATAATTTTAAAAATTTTATTAACAAAAATAAAAAAAAGAATTTTTGGAGTTTTTGACACTAAAATCCATACATACATATACAGTATAGAACATATGATAATGATTTTTTGCGTATTTCCACCATATTAAGTTACGAAATAATTTTATGTTAGAGGCTATATATATTTTTTTGGTACCAATATGCCCTGAGTTGATGAGATTTACTTTACTTAGTCTGCTCCGGCCTTTAGACACATATAAAATAATATAATTTTCCCGAATTTGACTATGTTTGCTCCAACTTCAATCAATTATGTATTTTTCATTTTGTTCGCCATCTCTTCGGCTACAAATTATTCCACGCTCGTAGAACTTTTGGCCTGTATCTACAAAAACCTGAACCAAATGCAATTTTATAGCCTCATAATTTTCGATAGTTTTGCCATTTAAAGATTTCTTCAAATATCGCAACAAATGGTAGTCTGAAGGTGAAAAGTCGGTGCTGTAGGGTGGATGCAACAGCTGTTCCTAGCTACGCTCGCTTGTGCTGGTGGACTATGACACCTTTACGATCGAACAATTCTGGCCGCCACTTCTTGATGGATGTCTTTAATTTATTTAGTTATTCACACTAGACATCGGAATTAATTGCTCACAATATACCACATCCTTCCAATCCCACCAAGTTAACAGCATCATCTTCTTTTGGTGAATATCAGCCTTTGAAGTGGTTTTTAGCGCTTCATCATGCTTGGAGCATAATCGTTTTCCATTGATGTTATTGCATCATCATATTCATCTTCAGTTATGATTTTGTTCCGAAAGGGGTGATGTTCATTGCATTTAAGATGCATACCGCAAGCGTTGTAGCGGCTTGATAAATGAATTTCTTTCAATTCATGTGGGTCCCAAATATCAATTTTTTCAAGTACAAGACATTCTTAATGATAATGAACGGTTGATTTTGGTGCATTTAACTTTTCTCCAATCTCGCGCTCAGTTACATAACAATCCAATTCGATCAGAGCCTTAATATCGCCATCACCAACTTCAGTTGGCCGATCTGAACGAGGCTTATTTTTAAGTGAAAAATCCCCCGAATGGAAATTGACAAACCAACTTTGACTATGTGTTTCTTTAAGGCCTAATCAACATACAAATTGTCTCCAAGCCAGAATTGACATCCAAGTTGGTTTTGTTGTGTGTTTGGTGGTATTGGCAAGAAGTCATTCACTATGAGCTGCTCTTCTACTGCCAAACTGTGGTTCAGCAAGTGGACCGTTTGAAAAAAGTGATCGCCCAGAAACACCTCGCCTCGGCCAAGATATTGAAAATTGTGTTTCAACAAGACAACTTGGAATCACACACATCGGTAGTGACTCGTCAGAAGCTCCTTATAGTCCGGACCTCGCACCAAATGACAATCATCTGTTCTTGTCTATGTCTAATGATTCGTATGTTGAAGAATTGACATCCAGAGAAAACACTGGAAACCGATTATGTCAAATTTTTGAGGATTTTTATGAGAAAAGCATAATTTCATTGCTTACAAAATGACAAAAGTTTATTGAAAAGTAGAGTGCAAATATCGTATATATCTGATAGCTCCAGCCATGATAAATAAATCCTTCAATTTAAGGTAAAAATAGTGGACTCCTTTTTCTAGTAAAAATATTTACAAAAATATCGTATTAAAAGATTTCTTAAAATCACACGTTGCGATTCTGGCACAAACTACAAATATTTCCTATGTTGCAATGAACTTCGCGGGTTTTGAAAAACTGTACGCTATATAAAGTTGGAAACCCTATTGTTTTGAATATAAACAACTTTTGATTTGTTTCATTTTATAGGAGATTTTCGAAAGTCCTTTATTTCTTCATTAATATAGTTACGGAACTATATCCGTGTTTTGCTATTTCATGGACAAAATTATAAAAATTAATCGATTTTTATACCAACATTAAAACGGTGATCCCAATACCTGTTTGGGCCGACTCACTAAATATAACTTCCTTTGGTAAAAAATATAGAATAAATGCATGAAATCTTGGTTTACATTACAAAGCCTTCCAGTTTTTGGAAAAACATCAAGACGCAAAACCACAAATTGGAAGAGGAGCTCGGCCGAAAAATCTCTTCTGCGGTTACAAAGTGCCAATTATTTATATATGAGAAATATATATACATATATAGCTGTGACAGTAAAATGAATATGCATTTTAGTGTAGCCAAAATCGTTGATAAAATAATCGCCCTAATTTTTATTATGAAAATTGTAATACTTTAATTTTAATTAATTAAGATTTCATGTGAACATTTGGTGTAATAAATAGTAAAATTAACAACTTTAATTCGGACCAAAAATTTTGTCATTTTATTGCATTTGAGAATGGAAGATTTTTCTAGGCGGTAAGCTTAAGCTAAAGCCCCTAGCAGGGCTGTGATTTGCAATTCTACTTTCAAAAGCAGCGTATCCAGGCTCTTAATTTCATGTTAATTATAAAGCGACTGTAAATAAAATCGATGCCTAGTTTCAGTATGTGCATTAACTAAATTTATATTATTGTTTAACAACAAAACAAAAATTTTCATATTTTTTTTTTTTTTTGAATGGATTATTTTGATTAATACATACTTATATAAATCACATTAGGTGCGAGTCTTCACTGAACTATCGTCATGTTTTCTGCATAACATCTAAATGTAGGCAACAAATTTCTAATTGAATTATTTTCTCTATACTCAGAGGTCATTGGCATAGCCAAGGCAATATTTTAATCATTTAAATAAACAAACATAATAATATTAAAAACAGCAATTTAAATAAATGGCTTCCATAGTAATGACAAATTAATTGTTAAAACCGGAATTATTCGCAAATATTACATTTATTCGAAAAAAATATGCCTAAATGTAGGCCACGTTAATTTATATTAAATTAAATAGATGTATATTTTACAAAGGCAAGTGACAAGCGTATTTAGTTAAATTAAATTAATTTAATAAACGCAATGAAACTCTTTAAGAATTATTTTCAATTCATAAAAATTATAAGAATTATAACAACGCAAGAATTTCCTATTTTTTTCTAAAACTATTAGGTTCTTCTAAGTAACAACACAAAAATTTGTTTGCTTGTTTTTTTTTTAATTAAATTAAAATTAAAAAAAAATTCATATATGAAAAAATGGTTATACAACAATAAATTATTAAAGTGAAAAATTCAATAAAAAATATCTTGGAAATTAGCTTAATTGAGCAGCTCGGTGCACACATCGACTAACTCCACTTTTTGAAGAATCTTAAATTGAACAGTTATAACTTTCTATATTTATAATAACTTTCCTGAATAATAAAGTTTACCACCTATAAATGGCTAATGTTTTTGGCCATTGAATGACTTATTTGAGGAGCCATTTCGATTACCTCCATACTCTAATGTAAATCATTTCGGTAACACTGTATCTGCTCTGTAATTTCATTCTCACTTCGCAGTAAGCTTCACAGCTGAATCAATTGGAATGAAATTTTTGGCAAGTGTACACAGCTACTTGACCAATGACTCAGATTTTCCTTTTATTAAATCACGTGGAAAAAAAATCAAAACATTTTTTCACCAGATGATTGGTACCATTTTATCAAAAGATGTAAAAAAAAGCGCCATTTCTTCTAAACCAAATGATTCACCAAGCTTTTTTGCCGACAAAACCTTTAGAACAGTCTATCATCAACAGAAAAAGTAACCGTCTCAGGTTCAAACCCTGTCTTATACAATTCAAATGTGACTAGAATGAAGATACAGATTTTCAAAACCATTAATATGAGAAAATCTTTAGTGGGTAGACCGAAAAATAAAAAAGGGTGCTCCATCTGTTATGTCGGTATGTAAACGCCGAATAACTTTCACATTTACCAACCGAGCGATTCCATCAGATATGTTTTGGAAAGATCAATTCAGTGCAATTTTCGCCATGGATCGCTTCACACCGAAACAACGCGCTGAAATAGTTACACCATTGTGTTAACTCAACGTGCTTACTGGAAAAGATATCGCCGCAAAAAGGCACCATCTGACAATACCACTCGTCATTTTGTGATTTAACCTCGGACTTCTCTTTGTGGGGTTATCTGAAAAAACAAGGTTTACGCCAACCAGCCTCAAACTATTGATGAGCTCAAGGGAAACATTCGTGCTGAAATCGATGCTCGGAAAGGTAAGGGCAAACGCAGAAAAAAGTAATTTTGTGATTGCTAATAAAGGTAGCTACTTGATTGATATTGTTTTCAAATACTAGTCCAAAAAATTGTAAGGAACCAAACTGAATGAAAATATTGTACGTAACGAAATCGGTTGTTTTTTTTCTCAAATTTACTCAATGTTTACATACCGATACAAAAGATGGAGCACCCTGTAGATCAGCCTAAAGGCAGGTCTGTGACGAAGTAAAAAATATAGAAACTCGATGGACCTGCTAAAATATATTCCTCCTGTTAAACAGGATTATAAGAACTTGTCACAAATCGAAATCCCGAATCCTCGCATACAGCTGACGAAGAAGACATTATTTATAATATAGCTGCTGAATAGAAATTTCTGAAACGGGACCACGAATTTTCAGGCAGGAAGGAAAATTGAATCTAAGTAGAGAAAATTATTTACGGCATTGGCATAAAGTCACATGATAAATATTTCTGCTATAAGTTGATTTATATACTTGCAATATGCAATTGAAAAAAAATTGAAAAAAGTGCAACGTTTTATTATATATTGTTTCTCTCAGAAAATGTTTAAGGAAGAACTTTTTTTTTTTTGAGGGAATTTTAAAAAATGTATGAACTACATAGTACCATATTCCCTTTTACTCTATTTGTAATCTTTTCTAACTTATTTAATTCTGCAAAAAAACTATAGAAAATTTTACCTTGTACTATACGCGCGGCCTTGGTTTCCGTAATATATAACTTTTTACAACTCATGATTTCATATTTGTTCTCATTTCCCATATAAATTAGCTCTGAAAAATTAATAAAAAAATTCTACTTCTGTTTACATTTCCCAGTGTTACAATTTGAAAATGGCAATTTTTTTAAATTTATTTTCTGTAATGAAAAACTTAAATATGTAAAGACTAAATTTAACTTTACTACTTTTTTCAATTGGCAAATCAAATAACTCCAATAACAGTCATAAAAAATGTAACATTACTGACGATTCTAGTAGGCTATTCTTTCTTATTAATTTTATATGCCGTTAGATGAAAGCTATAGCTGCAATTACGTATTCTAGAATATATATGTATATATTTTAATTTACATTATCAGAGGACTTTTTAAGAACAATGTACACTACATCATCGCGTTCTCAACTTTTCGTTTTATTGCTAGAAAATTAAAAAAAAAAAATATGAAACTTCATTCGGAAAAAAATTAAATTCTCTTAGCTATTATCGGCGAAAAATTATAATTTAATTTTAGAAAAATTAATGACAGATAAAATTCACAAAAAATAAAATTGTATTAATATTTATGATGGATCTCTATAACAAAATTATTAAAATTTAAAAAATATAAAAATTTACTGATAGTAGATTTTAAGTGAAATTATGGATACTTTTATTATATTATTATATTTATTCCTAATTCTTAGGATATTTTTTTATTCCTAATTTTTGGGAAGCTTAACATATTATTAAAAATTATTCTTAAATTATTAAATTAAAAGATTAAAAATTTTGGTTATACGACAATGATTAATGAAAATAAAAATTTCATTAGAGTATTTCTTTAGATAATTTTTTTTTTAAATTACTTTAATTAATGTTACAAAATTTGGGCACGAAATTTCATTAGAAAAAAGCTAAAATTATCTTAACTTTTAAAAAACGAAATTAAATGTTAAGAAAATTAAAAACTGGAAAAAATTACCAAAAAGTCAAAATAATAATTTAAATGTAAAAGTAAGTATAAAATTAGATTTAATTGATTTGCATTTTTCATGGCAATAAAAACATGAAAGCGAAATTATTTTCGATGACTTGAATTTTATTGGAATTTTCATAATGCCATTTGGCGCATTCAATAGCTTTTTTAATATGAATTTAGCGCCGAACTTTTTAAGCAATCAAACCGCAGTTTGAAGATATCTACAAACCATTGAAAATAAATTTCGCACAAATTAATATTTCTTATACAACTTATTTAAATTCTTTGTAAAATTGAAAAATACCAAACACAGCCGACGAGCAGGCGAGCAAAACAAATAAAAACTTTCGCTTGGAAAGTTACCACGAACAAATTCGTATTCTGTGTGGCGGCACAGGGTGTACTGTAGCGTCTGGCAGTGAATAAGCACTAATCGAGGCAGCAATGTTTTGAGTAAACGTAGCAACAATTTGCCATTAGACGCGCCAAGCAACCATTTAGACGCTCACCAGAACTCAAATTAAAACATTTCCGACGACGAGCAAAAAAAAAGGAGAAGAAGAAGAAGAATGTAAATTAAAATACACTGGAGAGGTGGGAGAGGAAATTCGCCGTCAAATAAGCGACGCCAGATAATACGTAGTCAAATTAAATTAAAATATGCAATAACAGTTTAGTTTTTCCGTCAACTCACCTTGTATGGCTGCCAATAGAAAGAGTAGCTGCAGCACGGAGCTAAAGGGGCCGATGGCAAAGCGCCCCAAGCGTAGGGCACACATTTTGCTCTATAGTTGTATTTGTGTATGTGTGTGTGTGTGTGTTTCTGGTTTTGATTTGATGTTAATTCCAAAACTGCTTTGGCACACCTTGACGCCTTTCGTTGTAACCGGCGCTGGCTTTTTCCCTTTAATTGCCACGAATTAGAAGGCGCAAAACGAAAAAGCCGCTCAAGCGCTGCATTGCTAATGTATAATTTTACTTGATTATATGTGAGAGCCTTGTTTTTTTTTTAATTATGTGGAATGCAAATTTTTAGTAAATTGAAAAATTTACAACGCAGCCCGCTTTATAAGCGCTTCGTATTTTACGCACACACACAAAAACTGCGTTCGTTTGAAGTGCTGACTTTCCAGAAAATAACGCACATCCCCAAATAGTATTTAGTGCCTTTGGCGGTTAAGTAGTTAGTTTATCAGCTGAGTCTCCACCCACAGCTACACACACGAGTGCCTTGGCTGTCCACTTTCTAGTTGCTGTTTAATTTTTCAATTTTTCTTCAATGCTTTTCTGCACAATTTCGAATGCCATAACATCGCCTTTCATTAATTTTTTTTTTTCAATTTTTTTGTTTCTTATGTTTTGCTATTTTATGCCTTTTTTCTGCCAACCTTAACTAATGGCTCGACACAAACGGGCCAATGGCGCTGTGGTGCAAAAAAAAAATTTAGAACTTTCAAAATTGAGTCTGACAGACCGTGCTGTTTGGTTGGCCGGTTTGTTGGCTGGTGCACTCCAAAAAAAAATGCCCAACTAAAGATTTCATCAAATTAGTGCCGGTGAAATACCAGAAAAATGGTATTTTTCTTCACTAAAAACACTCACGGGACTAATAACGCAAAACGTTTTTCTTTATTCGTTAATTTTTTTTCTGCTTTTTGCTCTTTCTCACTTTCACACTAAATGTTTTCCACTGCACACTTTATTCGCTTTCTGCGCTTTTTTTCACAGCGAGTTCAATTTAGTATGTGCCTGCGTGTGTGTGTATATGTTGTTGTTGACAACAACAAGTCGTGTGCTCGTTATATGCGGGCAGTCACCGTTAGACTGCTTGGCTGGCAGGTGTAACAAAAAGGCACCCCTTCACAGTACCACGCTAGCACCACAGTTGTTGCCTACTTCTGGGCGTCGCGTTGTAAACGCTTAACTCGCTACTTGAAGTGGTATTGTGGCTGCTTCTGCTGCTACCGTTGAGTGGCTGTTTGTAGGTGTGATTTTTTATTTTTTTTTACCTCTTCTATCTGGTTTGCTGTTGCTGACGTGATTTTATTTTCCTTTTTATTTTTTTTTTGTTTATGTGTTTTTATGCACAAATTTATTTTTTCAATTTTCTTTGCGTGACAGTTTTACGGTTTTTTTTTCTTGTTCACTTTTTTCGGCACCATTTATTCACAACTGTGCTACTTTTCGATTTTGATGGCGGGTAAGCCGCGATTCTGCTTTTGGTTGCTTATGTACAAATGGTGTAAATTGAATTGTTTCATGAAAATTATTTTCTGACCCTTTTATACGTATTGTTGGTAATTGAAATTTTAATTTTTTTTTTTTTTATCTATTTATTTTCATATATTCAAAGAAATTTTTTTACATAAATTTAAATTTTTTTGTATGAGTTATGCGCTCAATGCGTTTGTATGTATCAACACAGTCTTTACACTTGTTTGAAATAGTTAATTAAAACAAGCCTAAATTTTTCCTCATTAATATTGTGCATAATTTTTTTTTTCTTTACATTAAAGCATTATTAATATGCAAATTATTGATATAAATGTGCTTTCACTCCACACTAATCACATATCAAAATTTAGTTGATTTCAAGTTTAACCGAAAATCGTTGCATAGTTTTCAGAGCGAAGCAAAGCTTGGGACTTTGAAATGTGTTGCCTACATTCGGTAGCTTCCAAAATGTGCAAATAGTGAGATAAGTTAAAAAAATTGACATTAAATACCCGAAAAAATAATTAATGTTTGCCTAGCAATTGACGAAATTATTTCAGCTGATTATATTTTATAGAAAACCGTTGCCCCAGTTTGGCACAATACACTTTTTGTTTAACAAATATTCATTTATAAATACGCGAAACACTTATTATTTTTCAACACAGAAAATGTTCGTAACATATATTCTAAAATACATTTAGTTGTTTGTAAAATCTCGTTTCCTCATTCCTCCCAAAGCACTCATATTCATTTGTAGATGCCAGATTTACAATGCTTCATATTCATGTCATGTCATTTTTAGGCGCCATGCAGCTCGCAGTGACCCACTCAAGCTACGGCACTATTATTATTGCCACTTTATACTTGTGCACTTGTGTGCGACGCCTAAAACGATGCTACACCATTTATAACACTTACTTATTTCGCATAATATTTCACTTGAAGCATAAATGACACGCCATTTATATCAATGTTGTCAGCAGTTTATTTTATGTCATCTTCACTTGCGTGGCAATGCTTCATTTCTTCCTCTTTTTTTATTTTTATTTATTTTTTTTTATTTAATTATGCTTTATTCTTTTTCGTTACACCTGCTGACATAGACTGACTGGTGCTGGTGGTTGCCTTAAAAGCTCATTTATTTACTACATCTTTGCAGGCATCTTGCTGCTGCGACAACATTGTTCTACGTGACGTGCTCATGCCTAGTTGTCATCATTTATCTTTCTTTTGCCTAAATGTAGGCAACAGCAATTAAAAATAATGCCTTAAAGCAGCCAATGCCTGAAGAGTAATTTTTTTAAAAAGCACTCAAAAACTGTTTATAGTGTCACAACACGACAGCAATTCTCGGCTTTTTTTCTTTGTTGTGAGAGCACATTTGGTAATTTAATTTATGCCTTTCAAAAAATTCCTTACACTTTTTTTAATTACTTATTAATTGGAAATCTCTGTGCCTTATTTGCTCTAATGAAAACTTATTTCGCTTGCATTTTTTTCACGCCACGAACGCGCGCTTACGTGCAACACACTCGACAAACAGTATGAAACTACTGACTAGCTACTAGCTCCAACTGCGGTCATAGCTGACAGCTTGTTGTAGCTCCACAGTACAGCTGCTGCTTCGTGGCAAACTGTGTGCGAGTAAAGAAAAATTGCCGCAGATGAAAGAGGGGCGGCGAAAAAACGAGTACACGAATTGTAAAGGAATCGTGTCACTTGCTTTGGCAGCCGAAGTTAATGCATGTCAACAGCGAGCTAAAATTTCGGACGGCTTTTGTAGGAAATGACATAAAGAGAGTAAAGGAGAGTGTATTTGAGAAGAGCGTGCTGTTGTTGAAGAGCAGGAAATTCGAAAAATTACAACAACAGCGGAAATTGCTTACGTTATTTTGTAAGAAAGCCGGTTAAAACTGATTAGCGAGAAAATTAATTATTCTTTAATATTATAATTACATATTGAAATATTGCATTAAATTTAAAACAATATATTCTCTAAAAATTAAATTTTAATATAAAAACTCTAATGCAAAATAGAAATATAATTCTTTTATATTTTTAATATATAAAAGCATGTTAAATTTGTGAAAACTTACTACTGGAATACTTGAATTTTAAAGTTTTAAAATTACATTTTTTTAAATCTTCATTATACAAAATATTTTCTTGTTTTTTGCATATCTCAGATTATGTCAAATAAATTTGACTAACTTTAGGAATCATTTTTTTATGCAAATCTTTCATCAGACCAAACATTTGATTAGGAGAATCAAAATAGCATGTATATTATTGGTATATATAAAATGTTATAATCCAAAAATTTTTAAATAAATTTTTGCCTCAAATTTTTTCTATGGAAAAGTACAACAAAAGAAAATTTTAGAAAGCAACAAATACTACAGACTAATATCCAAATAATAGAAACTTATTTAACAATATTAATATACTTAATTAAGGTGCCTCTCGGGGGTTAACATTCTCAAAACCCATCAGCTGTTTGGAGGTTGCTTGGAAAAGACTGTAGGACCATCCATGGGAATATCGCCTCAAGGGCTATAAAAGCGGCAATTCTGTGTTATATATTATGTAAAAGTTAGGTGCAGGGTTTGTAATTAAATTTGAGTTTATAATTTTAATTACTTAATATTAATTTTTATATTTCTTTTCCATTCTTATTACATTACGCAATGTTTGCCTTTATAAATAAACTAGAGAAAGTTTAATTATATATACATACATATGCAGATATATATAAATGTATATATAAGAAGTAAGAAAGAAGAAAAGAATTAAAGTCTTTCATTAAAATTAAAAATTTAGAAATCCAAAATTAACAACACTAAAGCGATATTTCTGAAATGGATTTACTACATTTGGTATCACTGTTTAAAATTTAATTTCCCTTATTTCCTCATAAATTTTCTAAATCATTAGTTTTGTTTTTTTTTTAATAATATCAAATTTTTTTTAATATTAATTATTTCATTTTTTTTATATCTCATCTTATTTCTGTCTAACATTCAACATGCGGCAATAATTTTTTCATATCCTAGGTCAGTTAGAAAACGAAAATTCAAATTATCTGTGCTCTAAAAATCTCTGTTCGAAATTTACTCAACTTCATTCCTTCTCCTGCTCTTATAACTGAGAATTTTCTCTTATAACTTATTTTGGCATGTTTTTTCAATACGTCAGCCACAAGAAACTCACCACACTCACTTGAAGTGAGAATTGCCCTAATTTCTCTTTAACTAGTGGAAAAAAATAATAATAATTTCCCTTCAACAAACATTTAATAGAATGATTTTTCAAGGATGCTGGCTAGACTTGGGTTTCTAGGTTCAACAATAATTTTTACCGTTTGCTTTGTAGACAGCTGACAGAGAGATTACGTAATTTATCCTTTAAGAAGCTAAAATTCATAGTTTTTCATTTGAAGCGCCTTTAATACTTATTAATATAATTTTTTTATTTTAAAATTGTACATAAAATAATCCTAAAATATGACTTCCTCTATATTAAACACAGCATTAACACCGACAACAAAAAGACAGCACTGGATTCCAGCGCAGAATCACTCTTGCCAACCGTTGCTACTTTAGACTGTGTAGGCAATTGAAAATTAAAGTACTCTCTCGAAGAACAAATGCAAAGCTCCACAAGTAGCTCATCGTTTTCGTACTGCTGTATGGTGCAGAGGCATGGACGATGACAATATCTGATGAGTCGGGAGATAAATATTTTGGGAAAGATTTATAGTCCTTCTCGATTTGGGAAAGGCGAATTCCGCAAAAGATAGAGCGAAGAGCTGTGCGAAATAATTAAAGTATTTCACCGGAACAAGAGACAACGGTTACGTTGTCCGGCTGGAGCAGCACCTGACTCCACCTTTCGAGTGCGCGCGCTGTTTTCAACTCAGTTATAATCGCACAAACAGTGTCTATGTCGATAAGGAAGAAGGCGAAGAAGTTTCTCTCGAATGGTTAACGGTGTCAAAGGGTTTTGACAGATCCCTCGCTATAAAGACGGTACCAGAGCAGCGCCGATTTTGATTGCGGAAATGGAATTCTAACGGGTCAAGGAAGGGAGTAACGAGACCTCTATTGGTTGATATTATTCTTCCTTCTTGGATGGTTTCCTCGTTTTAAGCAGCGGTCCAACTCTATTTATTTTCACAGAATATTGCGGAGGAGAATGGTTCCATATGACTAGTCTTTTCTGGGATTATTAATGGCCAGAGCTTAATATGGTGAGCTCCACTTTTCGGAAATTCGATTAGTTTGACCATCTGCATCGTTGATTTACGTAAAAATCAAAATCATTTGAAATCGGAGAGCGGATGATCTTGTTCGGCTAAGTGTCATTGTCTCGTTACTACCAGATGAAACAAGAGTAGGTACAGTCTTTTACTGAAACCAAAGAGCCTGTTGTTGTGTTTGCCAGCTACAGATGGTCAGTGGAGACATAAAATGACAAGCACATAGTCCAGCGTATCAAGACTCAGCGGTTACACTGCTTTTATTATGTCATCCGGTCTGACGGATGCAGTAACTGCTGGAGTAAACAAAGAAAGAAAAAGAGCGTTACTTCGTTAGGAATATGAATATAAGATGAAGATTAACCTCTCCTTACTTGGTAATACTTTAAATCTCGCGTTTTAGTTTCTATAAAAAATTGAGCTAACATCTTCCACTTGGAAGTACCAAGTAGCATTAAAAGAAGGCTTTAATTTCCCTTCCGTAGCTCAAATCAACGCCTCCATAATCTGGGCTTCCTACCTCAGGAACATCTTCGACAACTTACAAGCTAAAAAGTCGGCCAAGTCGAAACCCTTACTTGACGAAGTTTAAATTTTCACTTGCAATTTTAGACTAATAGCAATCGAAGATGGAAATATTTAACCCACTGTAATATTAAAAAGTAGCTTTTTTCAAAGTTTCTCTTGCTGATCTGTCCAAATAAAATTTAGTTATTCTCTTTCTCTCCCTCCACTAGCGTGATCTGCAGCGAATACCTTGAAAGCTGCGAAGTTTTCATAGGACCAACCGCAACAACCAAACTCATACCAACCTACCCAGTCAAGGCTTTGAATAGAAATACAAAATTTCTGAAAGGCGTTAAAAAAGTCTAAGAAAAGTAATGCTGTAATTATAAAACAAAAGTTGTTTCATGTCTCAGTTAGTGGAAATGAATTCAGGTCACGACTTGTTTGAGAAACTCGAACACAAAAAATTGTTTCGAAACTTTAATCTAAATAACTTCCGAAATGTTTAAGATAACTTCTTACTAATTACAGTTAAAGCAATTTTAAAAATAGTTTGCCTGCTCATAATATCATCGATGCTTTATTACCGCTGAAGTTATTTTCGGCCGAGCTCTCCTTTCAATTTTTGTTTAGCGTCTTGTTGTCTTTCCAACAACTGGAGGGACCTACAGTTCATACTAAGCCGCTTACGAACAGCTTTGTTTTTCATCTCAAGAATACACTCGGAGTGCTTGGCATTTCCCGAAGACCTCAGTTAGAAAAAATTAATTTTATACTATTCAATGTAGACGCTGCTGGAATACAACCCGAACCCTGGGCTTCCGAATGTCAGTATGCAATGCCAACCACTCTGTTAATGCGGTCGCCAAAGCCTGGGAAAAATACTTACAATAAAAGCATGTCACCCTCTGTCCACATTAATTAATAAGTAACACTAATTACGTACACGCTTCGAATTGTACTTAGTAGTTTTTATATATTTTTCCTTATACTCGTACACCCACTTTGCGAAAACAAACCATATTTATCTACAATTCTTCAATATATTTACCTTCTTCGTGCATCACTTCTTTCGTTCAGCTACACACCCGTTTGAATGTGTCCGTGTCCTCTGCTTCCCCACAACATGATTGCATTGCAAGTGAAAGTTTTTAATTGAGGCAATTTGTTTGAGGCGATAAATGTGCTAGTTACTTATTTCCACCTTAATGGGGTTTCTTCCCAAACTACCCACACATCATTCATCTATTGCACATACTTAGTATCTAGATATACTAACATGTTTGCTGTGAAAAAGTTTAGAATTTTCATTTACAAGGAACTTTTACGAGTACTTAGTTTATTAGTTGTATTCTTTCACTTTGCCTTACCTGAAAAGGTCTTCAGTTGCTTTGTTCGATGCGAGGTATACTTTTTGTTGATAACATTTGTTGCCTTCTGCAGTAAGTCTTTTCTTTTCTCTGCTTTTCTGCACTACAAGTACTACAATATGTATTTAAGTTGTTGCAAGTTGTGCAAATGTAGTGCGATGCAAGTAGACATACATAAATTCATAGATACAAATGTGTCGCTCGTTGCACGTATTTCGAAGTTTCTAACATCTCTGGTGGGTCATGAAACAAAGATTCGCTGATTTCGGGAAAAAATCTCGTGTAAGAGGTAGTCTTGGTCAAAAACAAAATTAAACTTCGACTTCACTGATACCGCTTCCGCGACTTTATAGCCGAGTTAACAACAGCGCGCCGTTCATTCCCTCCAAGTGGAAGTACCAAGTACTGCCAGTTCTTTCTCCAACATTTCAAACTTAGCTCTTCCTCTTCAGTGTTCCCACCGGTAGGTACTGCATCGAAAGCTTTCAAAACTGGAGTATTCTTATCCATCCACACCACATGTCCTAGCCAGCGCAGCTGAAGTCGCACAGCTCATCACTCCAAAGGCTGCGGTTTTCGCTGTTTTCAACTCGCAAAATACTATAAACTATACGCAAAACCTTTCTCTGGAAAACTCCTAACGCCGACTCATCAGTCTGACAATGTTATTGGTGTCAATGCTGACTCTAAGATATACGTAGATATCTACAATACAACTTGAAATTTTTGACTAAGTGAATTTTTGACTTTTGACAGTGATGTGGGAGCCGACACACTAATGGGATGACTGTTGGTTTGATGACAGGAGATATTTCGTCTCGTCCTCGTTCACTACCCATCCCAAAAAACAATGTCAATATCATCGGCGTTCGGCAGCAGTTCCACAAGAATGAATTAAGGAAGTCGCGTAATAAGGAATTAGTTTATCTGAAACCTCATTTGGTACGGAACAGCTTAGAGCGATCATTCCTTATTCTGATGGAGCTTTTAGTGTCAGCTTTAGGTCAGTTTACATAGCCGTATAAGTTAAGCGGGCATAGCAAATTCAGACATAGCGGCGTAGAGGTAGCTTCTTCTCGTGCTGTAGAAAGCTGCTTTACAATCGACGAAAAGGTATTGTGTGTAGATCCTCTTTTCACGGGGCTTTTCTAAAAATTGGCGTATGCTGATTAACTGGTCAATGGTTGACTTACCAGGTCTGGAGCCACGCTGATAAAGTCCAATCAGTTTGGTGATGGTATTGACCTTATTAGCGATAGTAAGGAGGCATTTCCCATGATATTTGGTGCCGACTGCTTGATCGCCCGTTTTGCGGATTGGGCAGAGCACATTTAGATTCCAGTATACGGATTTGTTTCCATACAATATACCAAAAGATAATAAATCGGAAAATTAAGCGATAAAGCAGTTTTAATTTTTCCGCGTTTTCGTGAAATTATATATGTACGGGTATATGTCTTTTTCGATAACAATAAAATTCATGAAACTTTTTATAGTGAACTCTGAAGATTTTAAATTCTCTCCTTCTTTGCGTTTACCGCAAACTCAGTTGGTGTCTTCCAAGCAAAGTACAATACTAATTTAAGAAAAGACCCATAGAGCTCTAAATAATAGCTATGAAAGTAACCCCTAACATTCGCTGGTAGATAGAAAATGGGGCATCCTGTGTTAATTGGCCCGAGATTGAAGATCTTCAGCCAGCACTCCAACCCCAACTTCATACTGACTGTGAATATTAAAATTGTACAAAGTGAATTGGGGAAGTGAGTTGTGCAAGTGTATTGTGCAAGTGAGTTATACAAGTGAATTGCGAAAGTGCGCTCTGCAAGCAATATGTATGATAAAGCTGTGAGTAAGTTCTAAAAGTAAATTGCGCAAGTAGATTCCGCTAAAGAGTTGTACAAGTAAGCTCCGCAGGAGAGTTGTTGAGGTAATTAACTTCGTCTGAATACAATTTTTAGGCAAACTGTCTAAATTTCTTAATTGAGTAAAGCATTGGCTATTTTCACACTTAAGCTGAAAATTACTGGGTCTAGCAGAGAAAATGCCGTTTTTTGGGTTCAAATCTAGCTTTATCATTCCAGCGCCGATATAATATTTCACTACCATACTTGTAGAAAGATTTATATTGTCTCAAAATAGGCCTTATTTACAGCGATAGTCTCCTCATTCGATGAGCATATCAGCATCCAACAATTTCTTCAGCTACGGACAAAAACATAAAGTCATAGAACTTTATGGTGAAAAATTTTACATCAAAATGCCAACTAAGCAAATCGAGATTTCTGATACTAAATTTTGGCTCTATGTATATACGGGTGTATATCCAAGCAGTAGTCTATGCTCCACTAAGCTGCGGTATATGGTTTATTTAGAAAACTTGTCTACCGTTGACTTTCTTCTTCGACCATTAATCTTATCATAAATATATTTTTTATTGCAGTCTTTCTTTTAGTCTTCCCCCAATCCTCATTTTGCTGAGCAGTTAAATTTAATAATTGTTTGCAAGAAATTTTTTTCTAACAACCAAGTCACAACACGATTACCACAAAATCAACAGAGTGACACTCGCAGTTAGAACATAAATCACAAAATTAAATTATTGCTTTATTAAGTACTAACAACACTGAGGAGCCGCTTTCGGCTATGCCGGAATCTTTACACCTTCCATGACCATATCAAATTTGTGGTATTTTATATCAAGACAAATCAGTTAAACTGCTTTTAAATGATATCAATGATTTTTGGCATCAAAAATTATTTATTTAAATTTATTTAGAATACCAAATCTCACGATTCCAGACGGGCTTTTGAAAGAAAACCTCATATATGCAAAAGTCGGGTTATATGATACAGTCGCTCATTTCACCACCATTGCTTTCAGCATACACGAATGGGTCAACCGCTTTGCGTTTTTTGAAAATAAACGTAAGTAAAATGCATTTATAGTAACTTTTTTTAGAAATTCTTTCATATTATAAAGTTGGAACCTTGGCATTTATGTGCAACATTACATCATTCAAATGACAGTTTCACGAAGTTTTGAAAATTTCGATTGAATTGAGGTGATTTTCGAACGTTTTTCGGCACTTATTCGGCACCAATTGGCCGAAAAATTTCGCTTGCAATAAAGCCATATTAACCCGTTTTGCGTGGTATCTTGTTAGAACCACATATTATCCAGCTCGTTTTCTTCAGTTGTAGGGCAAAAAAGTCGGTAATCCCGTTGTCGTCGCGGGGTTGTCATTTTCAAAGGCGTAAGGACCAAAGAGAGCGCCAGGCAGTAAGTTTTTTTAATGATTTAATGGGTGTAATGGCCACTTATTTATTCAAGAATTCTCGAATCGGCCGACTGCGATCACCTCTGCAAGCGACAATATGGTCTGAAACTTCTGTGGCACGGTAAACCTCGTCAGGTCATGAAAAATCATTTATAGTGCAATCCATTAACCGTTACTTCTGCTCCAATATCATTTTCGAAAAAGCAAGATCCAATAACGCTGCCGGACCATAAACCGCACCAAACAGCTACACGTTCAGGATGGAGAAGCATTTCAACATAAAATCGTGGGTTATCCGAGCTCTAGATGCGATAGTGTTGCTTATTAACGTGGCCATCGAGGTGGAAACTGGTATCAACAGTTAAGATGAGTTTTCAATGGAATTATGGATCATTTTCACTCCTTTCCATGACCGAATCAGCAATGTCACGACGCTGTCGATTGTCGGCCGGCTTGGGTGAATATGTTAACAAAACTTTATGAATCTTAAGACCAAAGTATTTATGCAAACTACGGTGTAATGACGTGTGTGGAATGCCCAGTTTCAAAAAACGACGGAGAATGGACAAATCTGGAGTTCCTGAAACTTTGGGCTACAGCAGCAATATTCTCAAACGTTTGAGGTGCACGTGTTTTATTCTTCACCTCAGCAACTGAGTCTAGCAGCTCCAGCTTCACATGAACACATTGTTTTCGCATCTGCCAGGTTTACATCGTGCTTAAAGTGAATTTTGAAAATTTCAGTTTCATTTTAGTTTGTTACTTGTCAAATGTCAAAAAATTATAGCGTCAAAGGTGACATCTACCGGAGTATCACCTCCTATTGGAAATCCTTTTTGGTACGTTTCAACAATTTTAGCGCATTTTCGGGTTACTAAGTGATCGATTTTCATAAATGTCCGCCTTTTAACGAAAGCAAAATATGTGGTGGAGCATTCGCCTGTTAAATCAGTACCCATTGCTACGATCCCTGCCATCAGAAGTCTAATGAAGAGATGTGGTGATCTCCGAAACAACTGTCAGCAACCATTTTTCTTTGTTGTATAACAAAAAAATGTTCAATAATATAATTTATACCAACAAACACTCACTAAAAACTTTTAACAAAAATCAATAAATTATGAGAACATGTTTGGTTTGACAGTTAAATTCCACAGATGTCAAAATATAATCCAGTACTTTGAAAGCACGAAATGGCTTACCCAATATAATACCAAATTTCTAACTCTTGGAAGCTTTTTTGACGGATTTTTGAACCAAATCGGCTATACGGGAGCTATATGATATAGCACACCGATATTGATGATTTTTAGTGAAGATGTTTATTTATATACAGTAAATGTGTTTCTAATATCAAGTTTTAAACACTTAAATGCTTTCTTTTGAAGTAGTTTTGACCGAAAATCAATTTATATATCTCAATCCGTCGATTTCGATAGTTTTCAACACCAATGAATTTCACATCAGACGTGTGCGGAACATCAATTTTCACGTATCTAGACACTTTTTTTGCCAAATATATGACCGAAAATCTCATATCTAAAAAATCGCTCGTATATATACTACAGTCGTCCCATCAGCTTGGGTTCGATAAATGTACGTTTGAATATACCAGAGCATCTATGCACCATCTGGTCGAAATATCCCAAAGACTGAGAGACTTGTTTGCCTACAAACAAATCACATTTCATGTGCATGAAAGGTATATGAAAAGTAGTACGTATGTATGTATACGTGTAAATCCATATCGAATCAACACCTGTCAAGCAAAGTGGCATGACAAGAGCGGAGTCAGCGTAACGCTCGTCTTAAAGATTTCCCTTTTTTTAATTTGCAAGTCACTGAAAAACTTCATTTATACTCGTACATACTTATTTGTGCGAGCTTTGTTAAATGAACACAACAAAAGTTCATACATACATATACACATACATATATATTATTATATTAATGTTTCTGCTAGCGAGCCATGAAAATTAATGACCGAGCGCAATCGAAGAGAATTTCAACAGGAACAAAAACTGTTAAATTTAAATTTACTCATAAACGCATTTCTATTGCTCAATCTTATTTTCTACTGCAGCTGAATGTGCGTGTATGTGGTTGTGTGTGTTTGTTCAGCTTGAACTTTTTATTCTTCGTGATTATGGTTTTTGTGTTTGTGTGCTATTATTAAGATATTATTATATTTTCCTTTTCTACGCGCCAATTTACCTTCATTTGTCTGTCTGCTTGGCCTTCTTTGGGGGACGAGTTTATTTTTTTATTACACGAAATTATTATTTGACATTATGAGCAGCTAAATGGGGGTGGTGGCAGAGCAACTGACTGAAACTACCCTGCAGGGGAAAATTCCGGTTGTCAACTAGAATGCAACTAGTTTACATTTTTACACCAACTACTTCATTTTCATCAATTTTCCATGAAGGCAACTGGTATTTTTAACACGGCGATATCCCACGAGCTGACAATTATCCTACTATGCATCAGCTCCATACTAGTTTATTACTAGTTCATTTAGGCATGTTGAATTGTTACTTCACCAAAAAAAAAACTAAATCAAATAAATTTCAGTTTGCCGGCTGCGAAAATCGAACCGAGACACCTTCACGCAACACATTGAAGACCTCTAACCAACAGGCTATCGTTAAAAATTCGGTAAAATTCACCAAAAATAAAAAAGAAAAAATTTCTGTTTTCAAAAATTTAAAAAAAAAATTAAAATTTAATTTAATTTGATTCAAGCGCGACTCGACCCAGGTGATTTTCGCGCTAGAGCGATGGCTTCTAACCACTCTGCTTTTATGCAATGCAACGATCAATTTCATTTTGCGCATTTCAAGCTTCAACATACTAGTATTTAACTAGAATTTTCGCATACTAGTTGGTTTTCCCCTGCAGGGTACTTACGCCATCCCACCTCTCACACTCACACACACACATACAGTTATATATACAAAGGTTGTAGTAAAATTTTTTTTGGGTGAGTGCGCCAGCAAGTACTTAATAATCATAAAATAAAAGAGTCAACTATCCATCCAAAAGCAAAAAAAAGGTGTTCAAATTTGGAATGTATTTATTATATATACAAATGTGTGTGTATATGTATACATACAATTTTAGGTAACCAAAGGGAAGAATATCTTCGTTTTTTTTTTTTTGCTAACTCACTTTTGTTGTAATAGCAGTCTTACTCTCCTAACGAAAAAATAGTAAAGGGAAAAATAGTAACCATGAAAAGCATATAAGGAGGTACTTATTTCGTATGGAACAAAAAGTTATATAGCCAAAGTGTTAAAAAATATCATGAGCACTAAAAATGTTAAATTTTTCGATATAAAACACGCGGACAAAATATAGAACTAAGCGAGGCAACTATATAAAAGGCTTTGTCCGGAATGACTGACGGCTATACCCACAGCCCAACCAATTGAATGTAGAGACCTTTTGGAGGGTCCTATTAATAAGGATTTTTGCGGAAGTGGACATGAGACCGATCGATTTGGGAAAATCGAATTTATCCTAAATAGTTCGATCCGCATGAAATTTTATACTTGCGAAGCTATTTGCCTTAATCAACATAAGAAACACTTGTTCTTCGAGCTTGATATGGATTCAATGGGCAATGGGAAATGCACATTGGAGCAATTTATACGAAAACCTCGTAATTTGGTTTCGATTTTCTTATTATTTGAAATATAGATGGACCTTTGCCTAGATTAAGACATTAGAAGCCTTTCATTCCATGAAATGTATTTCAGTATAATCTGCTCACAAAAATCATATTCATACCTCGATTTGCTTGATAACCGAAACCTAGATATCTTTTTGACTTAAGGTGTGGAGAAACATTTTTGGTTAGATTTGCTTGAACATTTCTATATCCTCGGCGGTGCTAATATATGGAAAACTTTCATTTTCTTTCAATGTTCAACTAACGAAACGAAAAATTAACTTAACGAAATGGTTTCGTTTCGTTGCGGCGCAAAGTTATCGAAACAAAATGTAACTGTTAGTATTGAAACCTCACAAGCACATCGTTAATGTTGGTTTTATTAAAATGGCTGCATAATAACAGCACATTTCAATTTTAGAGTTTAAAATTATCTGTTAAAGAGGTAACATTATCTGTTAACGAAGTAACATCAACGACACCTTTTCGCTTCGAACAAACGCGAAATACAATTTCATTTGATAAGGGCTTTAAGGATAACTTTTCCATCTGTTTCAACCGTATCGATAGAATTAATTTTTTTAATTTATCGTTACGAAATACCCTTGGCTTCAAAATAATAATTTATAAGTTATAATAAAAGATGCGGGCAAATTATGGTAATTAATAATTTATGTGCAAGGTATATTACAAAAATAACGTTTATTTTCATCTTTTTAATATAATAACTTGTTCGTCTATTGTTCGATATTGCCGCCTTCGAAACGCTTCAAATTAGAGTACATGCTCTCCCTATAATACACAAAAGAGTTATCAAATCCGATCTTCGAAATAGCCTTTGGTTCTTTCATCGTTGTACTTCTAATGTCATTTACCGCTGTTCAAGATTCCCGCTGGAAATTGTTAAAAGTAATACGAAGAAGACATGTGTTTTTTCAAAAATTATTTATTTATTCATGAACATCTATTTTGTC